AAACCTGAAAAAAGGTTCATTGCTTTAATTGAGATCAGCGTCCCCGCTCTACAGTGGTACTATTGTCATGTCTGTAGGTGTTGTGTGTTCTGAGATGAAAACAGGAACAGGAAAAGCGTGACACCGCACTGAGAACAATACTCGTTCTTCCTACCACCACGAAGGTGGAGTGGGATGGTAAAGAACGAGTAAAAATACCAGGTTGCTGTACAGTACAACTACAGAAGTGCGTTGGGCTAATCAGCCACACGGCGTTACAACCCTGGCGTAAACAATTGTTTCCTTGTAATGGGGACGGCAGACATCGTCCTGCCGAGACCGATGGCAGACATCACATGGATGGAAGTGTCCGCGGCTGCACGCAGCAGGATGCCTTGAACGCTTTGCATCATCCCTTTTAGACTTACTTTTACTCGAGTTGCGACTTTCCTTGACCAGTCTCGTTGCGCTTCCGCTATTCCCCCGACCCGCCAGAGCTATCAGCGCCGTCGCGCCGCTGGGTCCGCCATTCCATTATCTGCTGGGCCCTGATACCCAAGGAGAACAGGATAGTCACAGGTACATCAAAATGACGTCAAATAGTCACGAAATAGTCACTATTTTGGCTTGAGGGATGTCACTAGGGACGTCAAAGACACCAAAATGACTTGAAAGTGACAAACCTGTTCTCGTTGGGTAAGGAAGGACCCCGTCGCACCCGCAGCAGGAGCGACGTCCGGCGAGCATCGGCTGTCCGCGGAGGTGGTCTGGTCTGCGCCGGCAGGGCCCCTGTGAGGCGGGCGCACCCGTCGCGCTTCGAGCCGGTGCGGGCGGCCTACCCCGCCGCTGCCAGGCGCCCGCCCCACAGGGTGCTGGTGGACCGCGCTGCACGCCCGCGGGGACCACGACAGAACCCCCACTCTTTTACACCTTAAGTATTTAGATCGGTTTAGGGGCCGCTTTCTAATCTCTCTCTCCCAAGTGTTGGGCGGAACTACTGCTACTGCCCCGGCGCAAGTATCGCACGCACTCCGCCAAGCTCAGCACGGCCATGACGAGCGGCTCTCTCTCTCTCTCTCTCTCTCTTCTCTCTCTCTCTCTCTCTCTCTTTCTCCGGACCCGTCGATACGGATCGGCTGTTTTTTGAGTGTTTCAAACGGGGAAGGGGGAAAGCGCACGATTATTTTAGCAGTGTGCAAGGAAACAACAATACATCATAAAAGATGCAGGTACGGTTTATTTTACTGGTTCCATTAAGCTTTGCGATATAGTCTTAGGATTAAATATAATGACAAGAACACTACGGCAGTAAGTCTTGGACGGGGGAAGTTTGGAGTAGTGTGGTGGAGTAGTCAGTCATCCGAAAATATTGGTGCGGCAGGCGTCGCAAACCACCTCGACCGATCGAGGCAGGAAGCCGCGGAGGTTCTGGCGCTGCATCAGGCAGCCGGCAGCATCCTGGCACGGGTCGGAGGAATCACGGTCAAGGACGAGTCGCTGGAGGTGCAGCAGGTCCCAGGCGGCCAGGTCCTGGCCGAGTTCGGGGAAGTAGTAGTCACCATCCTCTTCGTCCTCACTGATGCTGCAAGACACCTGCAGCTCCTGCAGCGATGAAGCGTGGGCGCTGGGCTTGGTCCGTGACGGGATTGGCGGGACGTCCACCAGCTCTCTGCTCCGGTAGCGTCTACGATGCCCTCGTGGAGCTCTAAATGGCGCTTCCCTCTCAGTCTTGCCACTCCTGTCGAGCTCACGATGATCGGTGACGCTGCTGTGAGCGCGCTCACAAGTACGGCTCGGCCTGCTCCCTGCCACGCACCAGGCGCCGAGGAAGGGTCCTGGCCGCCCGCTCAAGTTGTTACAGCCCGAGACACACACACACACGCGTGGCTGATGAACTACCACCCGGGAGGTAGGCAGCCGTTCCGACAGGGGCAGCATTTGTGGCCTACCTGTGCGAGTTCGGTCGCACAAACCGAAAGTGGAAGGCAAGCAGTTGCGCCCGTGGGCCGTTCTAGGGGAAGGAACGGGGAAGGGGGGGGGGCACGAGTGAGGGTACGAAAGGGGGCCGGCCGTACGGTACGCGTCGCTCGGCGGGCAGCATCACCATCATCACCAGCAACATGCACACCATGCACACCATGCACACCTCGCGGGTCGCCTACCGGGTGGTGCCCTAATGGGGTGGAGAAAGCAAAGCTTCCCGTAACGCTCACAGCCGGAAGCGGCTGCAGTTCAGGGGACGCGCGGCGGGGGTGCCCGCGCCAGGGGCCGAGGGGACGGCATGAGATGCAGGACCTCGGCGGCGTCCTGGTCCGAGTTGAGGCCCTACCATCGGCCGCCGCGGTCCACACGGTCTCGGTGACGCGGCGCAGCACCACCTCCATGAGCCCGGGCTCCGCCTCGGCGAGGTGGAGGAAGGCCTGCTCCAGCTGGTCCTGCTCGAGGACCTTGCCCAGCCGGTCCAGCACGTCCTCGCCGTCCCAGAGTAGTGACCGCAGCAGACCTTCTCGCGGCACAGCAGCCCGACGTGGCCCGGGTACGTGTCGAAGCCGTGCCGGGCCTCCACAACGCCCTCCTTGTCGCGCACCAGTCGATGGTCACGCTCACCTTGCGGCACACTTGGCAGCGCTCGTCCAGCAGGCCGTAGCTCAGCTTGAGCACCGCCTCCAGGGCGTGGCTCATCTTGACGGCGGACACGCCCTCCAGGCTGCTCGGCCAGCGCCAGAGTGGGCAGCGAGGACACGGCAGCTCGGCGGCCACCTGCTTGCCGACCACCATGCCGGCGAGCGCGAGTCGATGCTCATCTGGCGGGACGTGGTGGGCCCCGAGGAGGTCGCCGACAGGTGCGGCCGCATCTGGCGCAGCTCGCTCGGGGGTCACCTCACCTCGAAGCCCTGCAGCGAGAACTCGAAGCCGCCCTCCTCTGTGTCCTGGAGGTCCAGCGGCGCGACGAAGCGCAGCCCGTCCGCCGTCTCCACGATCTGGACGGGCACGAAGGTGACGCGGTCGCCCGTCTCGATGACGCGGCCGGGTACGAAGCTCGGTGCATGTGACCTGGCCGTTGAGGAAGGTGGGGCCGGCCTTGGTCTCGATGATCTGGCCGGGGACGAAGCGCGGCCCGTAGGCGGTCAGCACGGTTTTGCCCGGGACCCGGGAGGAACTTGGGGCCGGCGAGGGTCTCCATGACCTGGCCGGGGATGAGCAGAGGGCCGTCCGGGGTGTGCACGGTGAGGCCGGGCATGAACACGGAGCCCTTGGCGGTCTCCACCGTCTGGCCGGGGGCGAACACGCGGCCGCTGGGCGTCACCACGCTCTGGCCGACGACGACCCGCTGCGCCCGCGCGCCCTGCGCAGCAGCGATGTCCAGCCGGAGGGCGTGCACTTGCCGTCGACGTTGACGGCCTCTCCTTTGTCGAGCATCTTAACAAGATCGGGCATCTCTTCGATGTGCGACGGCTGGTTGAGCAGCTTGCCGCCGGCGCCCTCCCCCATGAGGACGGACTTGACCTCGGCCTGGCGGGGCAGGGCGCCGGGGTCCACCAGTTGCACGGCCGCCTGCAGCTCAAGTTGTAACAGCCTGAGACACACACAGAAGAGCGCGCTCGCAATTAAGCATTCCGGCAAAGCTGAAATGCAGAAGAATGCAGGGAACAAGAAAACGGAAGTCACCATGATATAGCATAGCGATTTCCGTTTTCTTCTTCCCCCCATTCTTCTGCATTACAGCTTTACCGGAATGCTTTATTGGCTGACGAAGTGGCGCATGGGAGGTAGGCAGCCGTTCCGACAGGAGCAGCATTGGTGGCCTACCTGTGCGGAGTTCGGTCGCACTAACCGAAACTGGAACACCTGCAGTTACGCCTGGGGAGGGGAGGGGGTGGGGGGCACGGGCACGAGTGAGGAGACGAAAGGGGGCAGTCGGGCGTACGCGTCACGCGGCGGGCAGCATCACCAGCTAAATGCACACCATGTACACCTCCCGGATCGCCTACCTGGTGGTGCCCTAAGGGGGTGGAGAAAGCAAAGCCTCCCTCAACGGCGCGTGCACCGATACACCCGATGCGCCTGGTAGCAGAGAGGCGCCGCGGCGCCGTGTTCCGTTATCCGAACCGAAGTTCTTAGAATCGAGATGTCGCGCGGGGTCGGGGTCCCACCTACACCGGGCGTCTCGCGTGCCGGTGGCGGCCGCACAGCAGAATAGCAACCATGGGCTGGTCTTGCAGGTGGCTGATTGCGACGGGAGGGCGGCGGGGGCCCCCGCCGCTGTCCGTGGGCCTCTGCCAACAAGAACAAGGAGGAGGACGGGCCGCAATGACGCCGCCGGGGGCTGGCGGGAGTCGCTGTGTGTACGAAATGCAGCCGCGAGGAAGAAGCGTGCGTCTGCTGCAAGCGTGTACGGTTGTGGTTGGAGGATGCCAAGGTCCAGGACCGGGGGGCACCTCGCGTCCACCGCGGTGACCGTTAAGCGGTCCCGGGTCAGGCAGCGCGCGCAAACCACGCACACAGGTCACGCCGGGCCCGACATCGACGCAGCCCGTGACGGACCGGGGGAGGTCACTAACTGCTCTTGTTCTAGAAAGCTGACCCCCCCCCCCTTCCGACCTTTGTTGCTTGTGGGGTTGGGGTGGGCACGGCCGCGCGCTCATGGCCTCCTTGCGGGGTCCGGTTGAGCACACCTCGGCCCGGCGCCCAAGAACAGGCGCTTCATGAGTGCCCCGGGTGTATCGGAGCCACCGTCGCACTGTTGCGGGTTTGCCTACTCCCTCCGACGGGAAGGCGCCAGGGCTCCAGCGGCCCGACAGGGTGTGCAATCCCGCCGCGCGCCCTCAGCCCCGTGCACAGCCATTGCTCGCGCTCCCACAACAGCCCATATACATGACTGTCGCCGCCGTGGACCGGCCGCCGTCAGGCAGCCCGCCGCCAAGCTCTGCTCGGCCTCCCACCCATCGCGCGCCGGGGAGCAGAGGTCCGCCGCGGCGGCGCAGCGACGACGCCCACCTCTGCCGCCTTCCCTCTCGGGGTTGGTGGGTGTGACCGGGTGCCTCCGCGTCGAGGCGCCCGTCGACTACGTGGCCAACGAGCAGGGCGACGACCGCCAACAACCACTAAGACCGGACGCACCGGTCGCGAGCATCTGCACGACCGGGCTGATCCGCTGGGCTGGATCGCGAGATCGGCGGGGGAACCTGCGTCGCGTAAGGGCACCCTGCGTGAACGATCCTTGTCGCGATGTGCGCAGCTGCTCCCCTTCAGCTTAAGTGTAGCCCCCCCCCCCACACACACACACACGCACACGCTGTCATAGCGCCCACGGCACCATGCCCCTTTCGAGGCTTTAGACCCCTGACCTCTCCGCGGCCGACTGCGTCGAGTAGTCGGGGGTGATCGGGAGGTGGACGTGAAGGAGATAAACACACATCCAAAAACAGATAATTTTATTGAGGTCTACATACTACAATCTCCGCGACAACTTTGTGGGTAGCTCATCCAGAGTTGACAACCTCTTCACAGTCGTTTGAATTTGCTCGGGTAGTAAACGCCTGAAAATAGCGAATCCCGAGATTATTAAGACTCCGCGCATTGCAAAGGATTTCAAAACAATGCATCATTACGGCTAGACCCGGCAGTGCTCACCCCGCTGGCGCTGCTGGCCGTGGCGAGGGCCGAGGTGAGGGCCGGGGCAAAAGGGTGCTGCCGCAATGGCCGTGCCCAGGCGAGTGGCGGACATGTGCTCCTGGAGCAGGTCAACGGTGGGCGGCCGCAGCCTGACGGTCGGAACACCCGTCTGCCTCACTGCAAAACCATAGGCCCGGGTGAAAGCAAATGGCAGCGCAGGGGTCAGCGTTAACCCC